CCTCGGCTACACCAAACTCGTGCGGACGAACCCTTCTTTGGTCCATATACGGCCTGCGTAAGTGTTAGTTCTTTGATTTTTATATTTCCTATTTATCATCATTATCATTATCACCATCATCATTAATAATCATCATCATTATCATCTTCCTCTCTATCTTCATCTTCATCCTATCTACATCAATCACTATCATTATATTCATTATTTTTTTATGATTGTCAATTATTCTTTCAGAGTGTGCGGGGGAGGGGGGCTATTCTGCGGGTATAATGTTTCGATTTCTCTCTTCTGTTAAAAGATCTTCACAAGAGTAGAAATATATGTTTGTGATGATAATGAGGGTGATGAAAATAACAGACCCTCCATTCCCTATCCATAATACAACAATGAAAGAAATAATACAATGATACAACGCAGAAAGCACTACCCCACCACAGGTACGCTGACCTGGCTGAAACCTACTACAACTTCGAGTTCCGTCCTGACGACACGGTGTTGCTGACGTTCCCCAAGAGCGGAACCACGTGGCTGTCGGAGGCGCTGTGGGCCGTCAGGAACCTCGGGCAGCTGGGCCAGGCGGACGAGGCAGACATCGATGAGAGGGTGTTCTTCTTGGATAATGTGAGGAGAAAGATTATTATCAGAGTATTTTGTTGCTGTTGTTATCACTATCATCAGCAGTAATAGAAATAGTAGTGGTAGTAGTAGTAGCAGGAACAGTAGTATTAATAATAGTGCTAGTAATAGTAGCAGGAACAGTAGTATTAATATTAGTGCTAGTAATAGTAGCAGCATTTGTAGCGGCAGTAGTCGTAATAGTGGCAATTGTAAAATTTGTATTAATTGCAGCTGCTTTTATTGTTGCAATACTGCAAGCAGGAGTTAGATTCTTTGGTGTCTCTATTTTATAACTTCATTCATTCAGTTACACTGTGATACTAAACTGTATTGGTCAATCAGCTATTTGATATTCCATTACTGGGGTGTCCCACGCTACGTTTTCTAGAACAAGGTTTTGGGAAACCTTATTAAGTTATTAATACAAGTTTTTCACGAAATTTGTATGAAATTCACCGAAAATAGACGACAGTGGTAAAGTGATATGAATCAAATGGTACATGGTGATAAACATATACATGATTAAACCAACATCTAAACAGATTATTACTATTAATGATTATATTTTAAGTAATGATACCTAATATAGTGATAGTTTCATATATTGTGGGTGTTCCGTCTATAGTATACAGGGAGGACACAAAATTCCTTTTCATAGACAGCTTTCGATCAAGGACACTAAAACAATACATGATCATCGATATTGGTATTATCTTATGACTAAGGAAAATACACTGTAAATTTGATATTTGAGTTCAGAACAGTGTAAATCCTATAACAATAATAAAGTAAGGCTCCACTCACACTAGTGCAATCCCGGCAATTGCAGGACTTTTTGCAACCCACGCCCGCCGGCGCCGACACACCCGCCATGAAGAGGTTCGCCGCAGCCTGCCCAGAGGGCCGAGTGGAGGACGGCGTCGCCCTCCAAATGGCAGGAGCGCACAAGGGTCCCAGAATACTGAAGTCGCACTTGCAGCTTGAACTACTAAACCCTGATCTTTTGAACACTTGCAAGGTAATTAGGCGTGATCTTAAACTAAACTTATATCTCACACAATACGGTTGATGCTGTTCGTGTGTCTTCTTTGTAAATGCTAACCGTAGAGTGCATATACTCATCATCATCATCATCATTGCCAGTATCGTTAGCAATGATAATCATGATTTTTGACTCAGGAATCTGCCCATGTCTCTCTCAGGTCGTGTACATGGCTCGGAACCCCAAGGACGTCTGTGTCTCCTACTTCCACCACTGCAGGAAGAACACGAAGAAGATCTTCCAAGGTGAATTTCCTGACTTTGCGGAAACTTTCATGGACAATAAACTGCTCTTCGCTCCTTACTGGGACCACGTGCGACAGGTGTGGCTGCGAAGGGGACACGAAAACCTCCACTTCATGTTCTTCGAGCACATGAAGAGGGATGTTTTCGGGGAGCTAAGGAGGCTGGCGACCTTCTTGGAAGCGGATCTCAGCGACGAAGATGTCCAGAGGTATGGCGGTCTTCCGAGACATAGAAAGAGTGTGAAGTTATGGTTGCATGAATATCAATACCATTATTGTTGTTATGATATTAATGAGGGCATGGAACCACACCACAAATATGCCCCATGTACTGTACATATATACATTTATACATACATATTTACATACATATACACACAAGCATGTATACATACATATACTCATCCATCTATCTATCCATCTATCAATCAATCTTCCATCCATCCATCCATCCATTCACCCATCCATCCATCCATCCATCCCATCATCCATCCATCCATCCCTCTATCCCTCCCTCGCTCCCTCTGCCCATCCATCCATCCATCCCTCTATTAATCATATCCATAATACCTCTATCCCTCTCTACAAAAGTAGAT